AAGGGTTTTAATCTTTAACACGCTGCATTATTCACTACTTTTTTTCCACTGTATTTTTTTCAAGGCTCCTCTACTGTACTACTTAATTTCAGTCTTGGTTATTTTCTGTTGCCATAGCAGGATATGACAACACAACTGCAAAATTAAAGCATGCTATTATTTATTCATTTTAGTCAGTGCCAAGATAAAATTATTACTTTGTAAGCGAAATCACCTTCAGTATGTTAAAGGTTAAAGAAAAGTAGAAATGCTTTATTTTAATTTGAATTCTTTTGTTTTTGTTTGTTTATACATATTATTTTTATATTTCATTTTTATCATGACTCACTGCAAATTTACATCAGTATTACTTCCTCTATAAAGGAAGATTCCTCTTTCTTTTTAATATAAACTGTTATTCTTGCTTCATGTACATATCATAATTACATAGAATAATTGCTTTGTTTTGATTTAGATATTTAGAACCAAAACAAAACACTTCTCTAAAGTCTGTCACTCTTCCAAATATAATCATTTTCCTTTTAAATTATTCCCAAGATGTCTCAGATTCTTATTTGTAAGCATTTCTCTTTCAATTTAGTCATTTTTTTTTCTAATTATTCAGAGTTTTATCTCTTGATCCGCAAATTTTCTTAGTTTATTTTTAATGCCTCAAGTAGATTTGCACTTCTTGTAACTGCTGCTAATATAATCTTTGAAAAATTCCATTTTTTTCAATTAGAAAAATCAGATTATGAATTTATTTGAGTTTTATTAAATTTGTTTCAAACCATGAATTTTATTCGTTTTTTTTCGTTTCAAAAGTACACTTGAATTTTCCCATTCAACATGTCAACTTTGCATTAATTTAGAAATAAAAAAAATATAGGAATGAAGTAATCTTTTTATTAATAAACAAGTTAAACTTCAGTCTAGCAAATTATTTCACTGAAAGACATTGGTTTGATTTGAAAAACCAGCTTTCAATCATTTGTTTTGCATTGGTGATTAAATTTTCAACAAAACTTTTAAAATTTCAGCAAAATTAAAAAAAAAAATATTAAAGTTTGGGTTTTATGACATATTCCCCCTTTTCTCCAAATTATTTAATGCTGAATTCTGTTGTTTTATTAAATATAAAGAGGAACATCGATTTTGTTTACTTGAGAGTCAAAAAGGTGGAATCAGGTTTGTTTTTTACAAGAGCCACAAAATGTAAACATGGTTTTGTTTACATGAGAGTAAAAAAGGTAGACACAGTTTTAGTTCTCACAAGTGTGAAAAAATGTAAACATGATTTTAAGACATTTTTATGTTTATACATTCTTTTTATAGATGCAAATATTTAAGTAAATGCTCTGTTTATAATAAAAAGTATTAAACCACATTCACCGGCCTGAATGTCCAAGAAATTTTCATAGAAAATATTCGTCCTCCAACATTCAAACATGATCCTATACGGAACTGTCATTTAGCTTGACGTGCCTTTACCGATTTGGCTACAGAGGAGCATTTGGTTAGCAAGGTTGAATTTACCGTCTTTAAACTTCAATCTTCCATGAATCTCTCACGTACATTCATATCTGCTCAAAGCGCATCCAAATGTAAACAAATGACGTCACACATAAGCATAAAAATGTCTTAAAATAATTGTCTAATCACACTGATGAGCTGTGATACAGCGAAACAGTCTGTCTGTGGATTGTAATGATATTGCCTACTCCTTCGTTCCGGGTTCCCGGAACGTCAATCTGTTTTTTATATATACAAACACGCATGCGCCTTGATCAATAAATACACGCCATGACAGTCCTTTATTCATAACTACACACGTGTTCGAGTTATTATTTTTATCAATACACATCCATGCACTACACGGCATGACATGGATGACATATATATATATATATATATATATATATATATATATATATATATATATATATATATATATATATATATATATATATATATATATATATATATATATATATATATATATATATATATATATAGTACTATAGAGTATAGTTTCTTATACTTATCCAGCTCTAGGCTACCCTATCGAGCACTTTTTAAAATCGACTAATATGGAGCGTGTAAAGCCAGCTTTCCCTGACGATCTGCTTAGGTGAAACCTTGGTAGGTTTGTCTGGCTCTCTAGGTTTATATATATATATATATATATATATATATATATAAATAGTCGGCTACTTGTTTCTGAGCACACTCATCTGCCAGGCAGATAGCAAGTCCCTATTACTGACACCTGCTCAGCCCAGAGTGTCCACCTGTGGTTTATACTGCAACTACACTGAGTGGATTTTAGTTACAGTTTTTGGGAGTGGACACATATGCTAGCCAGCATATTCCAATCCTTGGTCATGATGACTTGTGATTTTGTGCTAGCGTAACCATCAAATAGCATCACAGTCCAGCAAGACTTTATTTTCTATTTTAAGGAAAGAACAATTCCACATTCAGATATATTTTTTGAAACCCCATATCTGCTACGTTTCACGTCTGAAATGTAAACAAAGCAAATTCTAAAGAATTAATGGGTTTATTTTTCATATGGCATTTTTGCTTCTTCACGCATTATTATAGGAGTTGAAGTAGATGTTCCATTTTTTCATCTGAGCAGATACGATTTTTCAAGAAAAAATGTCGAGGATATTACAGCTGAGTTTTGATTTTCTTACTGTTGACAGCTTATTGAGAGTCTGTCCAAACTAGAGCACTTCTCACTTCAAAGTTCAATCAAGGTGGACATCCATTTGAAGATATTTGTAGTCTTGAACAACTCTAAGGCATACACTTGGTCTTGTGTTTCCTGATTGAATTGGAATATCTCTGTTTACGTCACATTGAGATGTGAGCCAACCCTGCCTCTTTTGGTTTTGATTCTGTATAGAAGTTCTTGAACTTGACTTATTCCTTCGGAAATTAGGAGGTTAGCATCTGCCAAATCAGTGTCAGTTATTATTGTTGGCTTGTGAGAGGTTGTTTCCTTATAAGGAAATGGCTTATAGTACCATTATCATTACAATTACAACTTCTCCAATTTCACCCTGTTGAGTTTTGGCCAAATATATAGCCACAACATTGCTGTGAACCTGTCTCTGACTTTTTGACTCTCATGTAAACCAAACCAGTGTCTACTGTTTTGGCCTCTTGTTAAGTCAAATTTATCTCTACCTTTATTGTGATCGATTGCTCATGAGTCCTTAAACCCATTAGTGTCATAGGGGGAATATATACACTGCAGTCTCAGTAGAAGTGGTGTTTCTTAGACAAGATAGGCTGATGGAGTTCAACCCTCTCCAGGGCAGTTTTGAATTTAGAGTTTCCTTCTCCTTGACCGGTTGCTACCCAAGGCTATAGAATCCAGTCTGTCCTGCTATTTACCCATAGTTGGGGGAAGAAGAAGAGGATTCATACCTTTCCCAAGAGTATTAGTATGTAAGTGAATGTAAATGGATCTGACAGGAATTCGAATTTGGCTCTCTGATTCCTCTATCCAAACCTCCAATTATTGACTCTCATTCAAACCAGAAGCTCTTTAGGTGGACTAATTTAAAATTCAACAGACATTAAACAGTCTAATATATATATATATATATATATATATATATATATATATATATATATAGATATTAGTGGAAAATATACATACATATGCAAAATATATATAAAAAATATATAAAATACTCATACATGTATATTTTTTCAGAAAAAAATTTTCCAAGAGGAAGAATCCAGGTAGAACTCAATGTCTAGGACAGAGTAAGGATATAATAAAAGGCTTAAACACTAATATTCCATGGTCATAATTTATTCCATTGGAATCGTAAATACGATCCAAATCATCAGACCTACAAATTCAAAATGAAAACATAAAAAAACAACTCCGAAATCAAAACAGAATTTAGAGAAAGTGTAAACTATGAGGAGGAGGGAGATGAAACCTTAACAGAGAGAATTTTAGAGATGTGGCGGGGGCAGGGAATTAAAAAAAGGAGAGAAAAAAGTCGACGGATGTCTAATGCATAAAGATACATTTCGTGGTGACATACACACACCATAGACAATTCTGTTTCTAATCTCGGACACTTAAAGCTAAAAACATGAAATTTTTAATAGCTGTTTTAAAAGTCACTCATTTTCTTTCTCTTTTTTTTTAGTCATGAGCAAAGCCAACTTGGGAAAAATATATGATTGCGTTATTTTTAACACACACAAATACATATACACGCCACTCATTTTTCCGCCTTCAATCTCATGAAGCCTAATCAGAAAACTGTATAGTTGGATGTTTTTACAAAACATACTTTCATAAACATTTTCCAATTGTCAATAATTTATAACTCTCATGTAAACAAAATCCATTTTTATCTGTGAGACCCTAACTGGATCAAAGCATGCTTTCCCCTAGAAAGGGGGATGTTGATTTGATCCCTGCTGAAGAACACATTATTTACTAAGTAAAAATGGAGTATCTATTTCAAATTTAATATTTGAAGTAACAGTGTAAGTTTATATTGTCGACTTGTGGTGAGTTGTTTCCTTATAAAGAAATGGCTAATATTATCATTACAAATCCTCCAGTTGACCTTTTCTAAATCCCTGAGTAGAACGCATTTGAGCCTATTGATTGTGTGATGTTTGTATTTTGGCGTGTCTTTGATAGAAATCTTCACTGGCATCAGGAGAGAAAACCAACTAGAGGGCAAATGATAAAATAACTGATTGAAAGTTGATAGGGTTAAAAGTGAGGTGAAGATCTTTGGATTAAGGTCAGGGAATTCTATTTTGCGTCAATAGAAAGTGATTTAAAGGGGATCAAAATTAACAAGGCCTATTAATTGATTAAGAGATAATAAGATTTGTCAATTTAATAATGTAGATTTGTTGATGGTGCTATACAAATCTGGAATGCTGTAGAATTGTAAACATTCCGTCCATTAATCAGTTTATGCCACTTTGAAACGGTCAGTCAGGTTTACTACTTGTCTATTTAGCTGAATATAACTGGTCTATCTATCTATCTATCTATCTATCTATCTATCTATCTATCTATTGTTTTCTCTTTTCAATCAATAAATCTATCTATCTATCTATCTATCTATCTATCTATCTATCTATCTATTAG